GCAGGGGGTAACTCCTGTGGTTTGACTGTGTAGTCTGTGAGTAAATGATCCTGCTTGTCAGCTGATGTCTGAGCTCAGTAACTGTTTAAAATTACAGTAATTTTAAACATTTACATCTATTACTTTGTTGTTTTGGTGTATTTGACCATGATGGAGGTTACTGTCAGGAGAAAAGCTGTAAAACTTGTGAAAAAAGTTCAAAGACCAAAATTTCTGGCCACCTTCACATTTTTGAAAGCCATACATTGGGACGGACTAAATTCTTTGGCGGGGCGATTCTGGCCCCAGGCCTTATGTTTGTAGCTAAAAGCATGCACGGTTAGCCAATCTGTCTGCAATCAAGTCCGTCCCACATGAAGCACATGTGCGTCCTTTATATACAGTCTGTGGAGAGTACTGAGAGGTGGAGGAGATGCCGTTTCTAACATATAAGGACAAGAATCAGTGAGTGGGACTACAAACAGTGGCTGAAGCACCTGGAAAGCACCTAATATCAGCACCTGTGCTGGCTCCTGCAAATGAACCAAAGATAAGAGAAGCTTTCGTTCTTGTCCAAGATCCTGGAGAGACTAGTTCTCTCCCAGCTCCAGGCATACTTGGACACGAACAATATTGCTGAGAAATTTCAATCTGCCTTTAAGCCATTGCATAGCACTGAAACAGCGTTGGTTAGAGTTCTTAATGATATTCTTGTAATCACTGATACTGGACGCTCTATGGTCCTAGTTTTACTGGACCTCTCTTCGGCCTTTGATATGATGGACCATAACATTTTATTACTAAGGCTTGAGCACACTGTGGGTATTAGAGGCACTGCCCTCGACTGGTTTAAATCATATCTCGCTGATAGATCCTTATCAGTTAACTTAGGCACCTTCTCCTCTTCCTCTGCTCCGGTCTGTTGTGGTGTGCCTCAAGGATCAGTTTTAGGCCCTATTCGCTTCTCATTGTATTTGCTCCCTCTAGGCGCAATCTTTGAAAAATACAATATCGCCTTCCACTGTTACGCCGATGACATACAGATCTATTTTGAACTTACTGACGACCTTGTTGTGTCCCTACACTACTTTCAAGAATGCATGCAGGAGGTCAAAGAATCGTTCCTGAGTAATTCTCTTGTTTTAAATGATAAGAAGACTGAGATTGTGGTGTTCAACAGTAAAATCCCTCATGCCCAACTCTGTGCTGCCCTGGGTTCCTTTGCTAGCTTTTCTTGTGACTATGTCAGTAACTTGGGTGTACTGCTGTGTCATGGTCCGTGGTCCTGTGTGTGTGTGTGGAATGTGTGATGCGCGGGTAACCACACCCCCAGGCTGGGCCATCACCGGCACACCTGCTCTCCATCGGGGTGATTACCTGAAGAGCTACTTAACCTGGCACTGACGGATGCTCCACGCCAGTCCGTTAATCACCTCTCTGTGGTTTTGATCCGGCGTTCAGCGTCTGCCACCTGCCTGTCCTCCTGCTCAATTGGCTCACCCGGTGCATCATGTGGCCCATTCACTACCTCCAAGGATTTCCTTCTCACGGACTTCCCTCCCGAGCTCCCACGGTCCCACTCTAATCGTAAGCAAACTAGTCTAACTCAGTTTTGATGTGTTTCCTCCGCTTCCCAGCTCCCTAGTAATCTTCTCCCCTTTCTGTTGCAGCCTCCCACGGTCCCGATTCCGGCATTGTTTCCCCGGGTTTTTTAGTTCCTCGTTTTGCTCCTCTGGTTTTCCCGGGTCACCTTTTGTTGTTATAAGAAAGTGTCATTTTCTGCTAGCGCTTGAGTCTGCGTTTGGACCCTTTTGTGCACGCGCGCCGCGGCGCATTGCACTGCTGGATAGCTTGCTCAAACTCGATAAGCAAGTGTCTGCTGTAGTGAGATCTAGCTTCCACCAACTGCGCCTTATCTCTAAGGCTAGGCATTATGTTCCGCATGAGGACCTGGAGAAGCTTAGTCACGCTTTTGTGACCTCCAGGTTGGATTATTGTAACTCCTTGTACTACGGTCTTCCCTCTTCTCTTCTTCTTAGACTGCAAACAGTCCAAAATGCAGCAGCACGCCTCTTGACTGGTACCAGGAAATGCAGCAGCACGCCTCTTGACTGGTACCAGGAAATTTTGCCCTATTACTGTTCTAGCTAGCTTGCATCGGTTGCCCATAAAGTACCGTATTCAATTTAAAATATTACTCCTTACATTCAAAACTATTAATAAATTAGCGCCAAGTTATCTTAGTGAACTTCTCAAATCACATACTCCTGCTAGAACACTCAGATCTGCCACTCAACTACTTCTGACCCAACCCAGATCTCGGCTGAAGTCCCGGAGTGACCGTGCGCTTGCTCTGGCTGCCCCGGTACTGTGGAATACCCTTCTTCTCGACCTCCGCGCATCTAATTCCATTGCACTGTTCAAATCACATCTAAAAACCCACTTATTCAATCTTGCCTTTCCCTCTAGTTAATATTTCTTTTATGATTTTATATTATGCACTTTTATGCTCATTTAAATTCTTGTTTGCTCTGTACCTGTTGCTTTCCTATGTATCAGTGACAGCTACCTGCTTGCATACTTAGTATTTGCTTTGGTCCTATTTCTATTTCTATTCTATTCTATCTAACTTCTATTCTCTATGTTACTTGTTAAGCACCTTGGCATACCCTTGGTTTTTAAGTGTGCTTTATAAATAAAGTTTATTATTATTATTATTATAAGATAAAAACAACAAGAGGAAATACTCAAGTAGTTTTCCATCTCTGGAGGCAGGCCTGCAGCCCTCAGAGAGGAAAGAATAGATCATTTAAAATATGTAAATATGTAATATATGCTAATGGTAATGTAAGTCTTTATCTTTAACTTTGGGTTGGAGACTTTCTGGTAAAATGCTTATAGCCACACTAGAACAGGAGTACTTTCACAAAGTAGGTTTTATTAACGGCTTTTTATCTAAAAAGACATAAGTGCATTGTTATGGTGAATACTCTGATTTATGAGCTATTCCCAAATGTTTATGACAGTGGAGCGTCCATCCTGCCCACTCCTCTAATAACTCTGACCTTACTTTGTGTGACTGGATGGACTCACAATACTGCCTCTGTCCCCCCCTCCCACACACACACACACAGTCAGAGTCATTGTTCACAGCCTGACACTCTCAAACACACATTATACCAATCTGCCAATGAATTCACAATGGAAACCATCTGTGTGAGTGTGTGTAGTGTAGGTGTTTATCAGTGTTATGGGGACAGTCAGTTTGCAGTGACTTTGCAGGGACAAAAAGTAACTATCCACAGTGTTGGGAAGGTTACTTTTAAAACTTATTCAACTACTGATTACAGAATACATGCCCCAAAATGTATTCTGTAACGTATTCCGTTATGTTACTCAATGAGAGTAACGTATTCTGAATACTTTGGATTACTTAATATATTATCATGCTGTTTACAACTACATGAATGTGATTTATTACTGTTACTGAAAGTCCGCGGCTCTGAACCATAGTAAAGGGACCTCTGGCTTATATGTCGGGTTTGTGTCGTTCTCGTAGCCAAAAACTAGCTTTACTTTGTTGTCTGGGTCAAGTTTGCTAGCGAGAGACAGAGAGAGGCGTTGAAAGGCTGCTCCAACTGAACTTATTGTTTCGGAGGAAAACACGAACACGATGTACAGTTGAGTTTTAATAGCTTACTTACAACTGGGCTTGTCAGGCGCTCTTCTTGGCTGCAGTGGTTATTATTATATTTACATGCTTCCAGCTCCCGTTTCTGCTCGATGACAGCCCGTAGTTTTCCTTTTTCTCCCTCCTTGCGCTCTAAATACCACCTTTTTAAATGGTAACTGTAACGGAATACAGTTACTCATATTTTGTATTTTAAATACGTAAATGCGGTACATGTATTCCGTTACTCCCCAACACTGCCTATCGAGCAGATAATAAAATCAAAAAGTGAAGACTTGGGTCAACTTTAAGGTAATTTAGGCTTCCAGGAGAGAATTTAAATCAGTGTGAAGGGCTCTGAAGTGACTGAAGCTTGGCTGTGTGAGAGCTTATGGTGATGTAACTGAGGCAAGACTAAACAGCTGATTATGATCACAGGAAAGTGATCCAAAGAGGTAACATGACATAAACATGGATTTAAACTGCACTTGTTTTTTAACACTCACTTCATAAATAACAGTTTAATGCTGTGAGACAGATCTCCTAAATTATGGAATAACTTGCCATTGCACAATAGAGAGCCCCCTTTCAGAACACATCTTAAAACTAGTGCTGTCAGCACTACTTAAAACCCATTTTTATTCCTTGGCTTTTGACTGCAGTGAGACTTAGCTTATCTTTTAATTAAATTATTTATTAACTAATGAATTATTTATTATTATTTTTAATTGGCTTTTATTTATATCTTATGAAATTGTGATTATTTAGTTCTAATGTACAGCATTTTGTGTCATCTGTGGTTGTTTTTAAAGTGCTTTATAAATAAAGATAATGATGATGATGATGATGATGATGATGAAGATCTGACACTTTCGTAAAAACATGTCCCCACACTGAAGTCAAAACTGAAGCCACAAAACTTTGCAGAATTTCCAGAAACTGTAAATGGTCATGTAAAACTGTACAGCCCAACCACAACAACACTGACATATCAGTCTTTCAGATGAAGTTTCTTGATCCAATGACGTAAAGGTTTTGTTTTCTTTCTGTGTGTCTAAGAGGGGGGCCAAAAGTGTTTGCCCTGGGCCACTTAGAAGATTAGTCTGGCTATGTTTAAACCAAACTTAAACCTAGCTATAAACACACCCAATAGCCCGATGTCCCATGCTGGAAGTTACAAGTGTGGGGACCTTTCTGTCCCCACACGGGTCCCCACAGCACCGGTAAAACCAGCCCTGCCACGGTGCGCTGGGGAGGAGGGTAAGAAACGCCCCCTGTGGGCGGGCCTTCCCGCTGACCGTGCGCCGACAAACACCGTGAGGGACTGTGCTCTGCACGCGCGGCTCTCGGGGCGAAGAGCAATAGGAGTTTGGATCACTCCGCCGGGGCTTTAACGTGAACTAGAGCCGCAGACGGAGTAGCGGGCAGGCTGCTGTTGGTGCCCAGTCCCGGGACTAACTAACGCTTTTTCCTCCGCAGACCCTGGAGCTCCACAGGTACTCTGATCTGAGGTTTACCGGGATCTGTGTGTCTGTAAGTACTGCGAAAAACAGAGGTACTACTGCTCTGAGGAGGGACGGGGCTCACTATTCTGAGGTCAGCTCAGATATGTTTGTACCCGCAGGGCTCTGAAGCTTCACAGCTTCACCTGCTCACAGGTACAGGTGTACTCTCTCTCTCTGACACGCACACCGGACCAGATGCTCCGACCAGGGGTTTACTGTATGTGTGTCTCAGGCTTTATTACATGAAGAAAAATGAACAGTTTAATGTAAAATGATTAGTTTGAAAGCAGGAGGCTGGCACCAGAGTTGTGATGTGTGGGTGGTGTAGGTGGAGTAGATCAGTGTAAAGAAGAAGCCACACACTTTTTCTTGTGCTGAGAGCGGAGCAGAGACTGATGCTGAACTGGGAGAGGTCTGAATTGCAGTACTCTGACTCACAGTACACAGGACTCGAAGTATTTGAGTATCTGCTGCTAGCGTCCTGTGTTAGATACCACAGGGACCCTCACAGGTTGGGCTTTGCTGCAGTGTGAGGACCAAAAGCTTATTAGGCACAGGTGTTCCTAATATTTTGTCTGTGTTAGTGGGTCAGTGACAGCTGCAGGCTGTGTGTGAGTCCTCTGTGCCAGCACACACACAATCATCATCATCATCAGTGAGGTCAGAACAGAACACCTGAGCCTGTGAAGGTGTAGTTGGAGCTTGTTACAGTTTCCTGTTCCTGTTTGTGTCTGTAAACAGTAAGTCTGTAAATCATCATCATCACTCTGCTTTAATCTTGAAATGTGCGAGCAGTAGGCATGACTTCAGGTGTCTGATGGGGTTTGAAGCATGTTTTGGCGTTTGTGTCAGAGACTGAAGCGCACTGCTTTGCGACTGGCTGTTTGCTCGCTCTCCTGCTTACTCGAGCGTGTCAGATTCACACGAAGTCTCCTCCACCAACCAGATTAGTCTCAGAAATCCCAGATTGGTAAAAGCCTGGTGCTCAGCGTGGCTCAGTGATGATAAATCGGGTTCCTGGCAGTGCCGGTGCGTCAGCCTCGCTTTGGCCAGGGTCAGATTGACACTCGGGTGGGTTTCTCTGAGGTCATAGCGTTACCGTGACGCCAGGGAGACACGTTAGTCATGCTCAGTCATTGCAGGAAGCCAAAATAGTTTTTCAAGTTAAAACTGGATTCATTGCACAGGACAGGAGCTACACAGGGTGGTTCTGCATCGTGCCAGTAGCTGAAAGCTCCAAATGGTTCCTTCCATCCTCAGATCCCTGCAGGAGAACCGCAGCTTCCTCTCCTGTGAGCAGCTGGAAGTTTCTAGACACACGCCGTATTTTTATTATAGCATGAAGAATATTTCTGAACTAGACTAACCCTAATAATCATGAGTAACCACGAGCTCAGGCACTGATTCAAGCTTTAAGGTTATTTACCTCCGACCACATTAAAATGATCATTCTGTCTGTGAGTCTGTGATGGTGTGGATGGTGATGCAGGTGGTGTAGGTGTCTGTGAGTCGGTTCCTTCTGTAAACACTCATAAATAAGAATATGTGATGTTCAGACTGTAAAAATGGAGTGGAGAGGGTTAGGGTGGTGTTTGAGCTGAAGCTGTAGATCAGGGTGGTGTTAGGGTGAAGCTGTTTTGGGAGTGGATGTGTCAGATAGACAGGTGTACACAGTCTAGTGCAGGTAAGGTTTCATTCAGAGGGTCTGCTCTGATGTTAGTGACGTGGAGGCAGCTTACAAAATGACTCTTAATGAAAGCATCAGGCTGGTTTAAGAAACCACCCTCATCATCCATCAGCACTGCCCCGACTGAGCTGACCCATCACACCCGAGTTCAAATCACACTTGGGCTGAGGAAAAAGTTATCATCCGGGCTCAGAAATGAGGACAGGAAGTCGTAGAGATTTATCTGGATCCAGTTTTCATGTTTAAAGATTTTTTAGTTAAAGAAAATAAAGAAAGCACCAAAACTGAAGAGAGCTGCACCACAGATATTACAGACAGTCAACAATAATCAATAAAAATCAACAATAATCAGTTCAGCGATACTTTGGATGGAGCTGAGGCTCACACAGGACCACATCTCAGCTCTGAAACTCAGAGAGGATGGGCCATGAAGTCCTCAGTGACAGGATGCTTCACTGTTTGACTTCCAGTGCAACAATGCTGGTGTGAGTGTGTATGTGTGTTGTATGAATGGTGTCTTCACACGGGGGGTCTCATCCCGGTTGGTTGGGGCTGAAACAAATGAGCCTGGAGGCGTCCTGTCAGATGCTGCTTGTCTTGGTCAGTCAGGAGGAGCTGTTCATTCCTGCTGCTTCAGCTTCTTCAGTCTCGTCTACTCACCTCAGGCATGAATGTCAGGGTCATCCTTTGAACTGTTCTTTCTCCAGTGGAATAGCTGTGCAGCATGCATCTTTAACGACTCTAAAGAAAAAGTTTGGGTTTTCTCTGATCCACACAGGTACATACGCTATATTGCCAAGAGTATTCAGTCACCCATCCAGATCATTGGTGTTCCATCACTTCCATGCCCATAGGTGTACAAAATCAAACACCTAGGCATGCAGACTGCTTCTACAAAGATCTGTGGAAGAATGGGTTGCTCTCAGGAGCTCAGTGAACTCCACCATGGTACTGTGATAGGATGTTACCCTTGCAACAAGTCTAGCGTGACGTTTCCTCTACTAAATATTCCATAGTTAGCTGTTAGTGGGATTATAACAGAGTGGAAGTGATTAGGAATGGCAGCAGCTCAGCCACTGAGTGATTGGCCACGTAAACTCACAGAGCGGGGTCAGTGGATGCTGAGGATCAAAGTGCACAAAGGAACTTTCTGTCGAGTTAGTCGCTACAGACCTCCAAACTGTTTGGCACAGGGAATAGTTTGGGGATAGAGCTTCCTGTTTCAGTATGACTGCACATCAGTGCAAAAGCCATAAAGACATGGATGAGCGAGTTCGGTGTGGAAGAACTTGAGTCCTGACCTCAACCCGACAGAACACCTTTGGAATAAATTAGAGTGGACACTGAGAGCCAAGCATTCTCTTCCAACATCAGTGTCTGACCTCACAATGTGCCTTTGGAAGAATGGTCAGAAATTCCCATAAACACTCCTACAGCTGTTATATTAAACCCTATGGACAGGTGGATGTCACTTAAGCTGTGTGTGTGTGTGTGTGTGTGTGTGTGTGTGTGTGTGTGTGTGTGTGTGTGTGTGTGTCTATTCACACTCATTGATATTTGGTTAAATATCTCTTAGCAGCTGCACATCAACCAAACTCTTCTGGTATCCATCAAAAGCTCTGGCTGATATCAGACCGCGCTCCTTGTCAAAATTGGTGAAGTTAATTTTAATTGGTTGGTTTCTTAGCACAGACCCGGAATTTAAACAAAGTTCCTAAATGTTGCGGAGCGTTGAGGTTGGAGCTTTAGAAAGTTTATTCATGACAACAATCATTGTATGCAGTTTGTGCTGCTGGAGTCACCTCCGAGGGGTCAAAGGTCATCAGCAGCCGTAGACAAAACATGAATGATGCTGTAGTGCATGTGAGTGAGCTTCACTCATCTTCTTTTCACATTTCATCACAGCTCGTTTGTTTTATTGACATTTAAACAAACTAAATGATAATAATGATAAAAACTGTGTTAAGTTTAAGTTGAAGCACTGTTTTCTGTATTTTTAAACTTTTATAAGGTAGAAAAAAGCTTTTAAATCTGGAACAAACCCTCCCTGTGGCAGCGTTTTGCACAATCATTCACATCATACAGTACGCATCCTTTTAATTTCAAACTGACAGATATCTGAAGCTGGCAGATTTCCATCCTCGGTGACCTGCACTAGTCTGACTCTCAGAGAAAGCAGGAAGTCTGACATTGTGTGTCTGTTGTCGCTGCAGTGTGTTCGGAGCACGTCGCTGTGTTGGACACGATGTCCTGCCCTCACCGCCTCCTGCTGGTTCTGCTAGTTCTGCTGGTTCACGACCCTCCGGCTCAGTCCAGGCCAGCCACAGAGGACACGCGCACAGGTAAGGAGCATCTGAGGTCTGAGGGTGGACACCATGACTGAAAGACGTATCTAAAGTCACTTTTCAGACTCAGTTTAACCTGAGTTTGCTTCATTTAAACTAGAATTAAAGCCGTGTTTTATGTCCCAAACTCAGACACGTCAGTATAACTGACACCAGCGAGCAGCAGCAAATCCTCACAGTTAGACAGCTGGTCTTTAGCATTTCAGTTTAACTGGATCCAGGATCCCAGCATGGAACGAGACGATGTAGCCTCCTGATGGAGGCTTGAAGCAGTTAGAGCCATTCATACATGTAAACACTGAGGCTGAGCTGTGAGCTGTGACAGCCCTGCTGTAAGACCCTGGTGTTTAAGGAAGATATTACTAAACTAACTAATCCAAACTCCTAAAATTCAGTTGAAGATTTGTCAGAGAAGTGCATCTCTCTTCTTGAAGACTCTGAAGCAGGTGGATATTTGGTTTTTATGCATTTTATTAATTTATGAAACCAAATTGAAGCATGCGCAGGTGAATTTCTGCAGTGAAGTAAAGTGGGGTGTCGTCGGCGTGGCTGCAGCTTCAGACGCTGTTAAATGTGGGAGTTATGATAAACATAAACACTTTTCTGAAAAACTGAAATGAAAACGAAACGCTATAAACTCACAAATATTCCTTAACAGAGAATCTGAGACACAATAACTTGTTTCTTTTAATTGGCTTTTTTTACTGTCACTGGCTTTTATTACTATTTTTAGCCTGAAGCAGAGAGCTGTGGTTATCTGAATAACCACAGTTCATGGTTAAAGCCTGGTGCTCAGCGTGGCGCTGTGATGATAAATCGGGTTCCTGGCAGCGCCGGTACGTTAGCCTCTTTTTAAGTGCTGCAGCGCTTGTTTGGGCCTCGCCCTCCTTTGTTTGAGGCTCGTTCACATCTGATCTTGACTGTGGTCGCGGTGTTTCTGTCTCCACGTTATATAAAAGCTCCTAAAAGTTTCCAGTGAGAGAAGTTCTGTAACAGGAAAGTGACTTCAAGGTTTGGTTGTTTGTGGCTGCAAGGCATCTGAAAACGTTTAGAGTGATTTTTCCTGGTGAGAGTGAGGACAGCGCTCAGACTGGTCCTGTGAGAACACATGAAGCGCTGTGCAGCACAGACACAACAAACACGCTTGCCTCGGGTGGTGTGTGTGTGTGGGTGTGTGTTTGTGTATATGTGGGTGGGTATATGCCGGTCCAACCATCTGGACTCCAGCTGAGTGTTTGAATCTGTAGTTTCTTGTTTTGCTCGGCTCAGGTTGAAGCCACGCCTCCTTGTGGCAGACGCAGTAACAGAAAACGATCCTGAGCTGGTTTCTCGTAAACAGCGTCCCTCGAGCCCGGCCCTGTCTCACTGTTCTTCTCTGATGTGTTTACCATGAGCTGTACTTTCAGAGCCACAGAGCCTCTTACACCATCAGACTACAGCAGAAGCCCTTCCAGGCTCCTGATGCTGGTTTGGTTTTCTGTTTGTGACCGCTGGTCAGAGAATATGAAACAGCTGAGGATATTTCTTTGAAGCGTTTAAGCTGAAACTGTTCTGCTCACTCCCTGCTCCAGGTTTCATTCTCAGACTCTCCCAGAGCTGCTCTGCATGATTCACAGTTCATAATAATCCCTCTTTATCTGACCCTGGGCCTCGGTCCTCTGCCTGAAACCAGCTGCTGTAGGTTTGTCTTGTTGAAAACCAACCTCCTGATCTGGAACGAAAGTCTTCTAAAGCTGTTACCCTGTTTACAGTTAGCAGTTTATTTCAGCCACATGTTAAATGTGCACATTTCACAAGCTGATGTTTCCCATCAGGTCTTACAGATTCATTTTGGCATTACACTTCTTCTGGTATGAGCTTTTCCACAGAATCAAAGCATCAAGAGGGGCACCTCAGTGTCAACCATATATTTGATTTGTGTAACATGCTGGGATATTTAAAATTAGAATGCTTTTATATAGTATATAGGTTCTGTCTTGGAGCGTTGTGACATCACTGCTTCTGGGATTACTAAAGTTTTTTGATTTCGATTCATGTCTAAAAAGTGCCAGATGTTAGTTTATTCTTCTGAATGTGGAATCAGACCGTCTGATGTCCTCTGAGATGCTCTCAGTCATCTTCCTGTGATACACATCATGTGTGGTCATTGAAGTTAATGCAGAACTGTAAAAGCTGCATGCTTTAAACATACTGCCTTTTATTTTAAAGCAGACACAGTGAAATCCTCCGAAGACGAAGAAGATGACGAGTCTTCGTCAGAGGAAAACAAGCTGTCCGACGAGCTGTCGACGAGCAGCGAGAAGCTGCAGCAGCGTAAGCTTCAAACTGCTCTCCCTCTCTCAGACAGGTGTTTGTAATCAGGATGCTTACGTGGCTGTGTCTCCTCGTTAGCACTGGAGCCGCAGTGGGTGATGCCAGACAAGATGGAGAAGCTGCTTCACGCCGTTCCTGCAAGCACAACGGTGAAGTTTCGATGCCAAGCAATGGGAAACCCGCTTCCCTCCCTGCGCTGGTACAAGAATGGGAACGAGCTGAGGAAGGACCAACGAATCGGAGGCTACAAGGTGAGTTTGTGACATCAGAGCAAGCTTCAGAGTTAGTTTTCCTTTTCATCCTTTTCGTTTACCTGTGTTCTCTCCTTCAGATCAGAGAGCACATGTGGAGTCTAATTATGGAGTCAGTAGTTCCTTCTGATAAAGGGAACTACACCTGTGTGGTGGAGAATGAATATGGAAGCCTGCGACACACTTACCAGCTGGATGTAGTCGGTAAGAGTGATGGTGAACATTTCAGGCACAGCCGAAGCTCTGTGAAACCCCATATTCCTCCAAACTGAACAAAAACACAGCAAATCATCATTCTTGTCCTCTTATTTTACCTCTGTCTTTATCTCCATCCTACCTGTTTCAGAGCGCTCTCCTCACAGGCCCATCCTGCAGGCCGGGCTGCCGGCCAACCAGACGGCAGTGGTTGGCAGCAACGTGGATTTTGTGTGCCGCGTCTTCAGCGACCCACAGCCTCACATCCAGTGGCTCAAACACATCGTCATCAACGGCAGCAAAGTGGGACCGGACGGACTGCCCTACGCTCGTGTTCTCAAAGTATGGAAAGCTGATATAAATGTAGTCAAACTTGTTCCCTTTACAGCCCGATCACACCTCAGGGGATACCTGCGTGCTGCCTGGATAGCAGCACTTTACATCAACATGAATAATCCCAGGAGCGCCGCTCCCTTTGTGTCTCTTAGACTGCTAACGTGAACACCACAGACAGAGAGATGGAGGTGCTGAATCTGAGGAGTGTAACTCTGGAAGACTCTGGAGAGTACACCTGCCTGGCCGCCAACTCCATTGGGGTGTCGCACCACTCTGCGTGGCTCACTGTGGTCGATGGTATGTGAAGGTTTGCAGGTTTGCCACGCACAGAAATGAACTCAAATCTCTGTTAATGTTCCCGATGTGATCTCTCCTCAGACCCTCCGCCCTCCCCACTGACCTCGCAGGCGTACCTGGAGATCTTCATCTACTGCCTTGGGTTTTTCATCATCGTCGTCCTGACCGCCACAGCAGTCATCTGCAGGCTCTGCTGTGTCCCGAAGAAAAGTGACTTCAGCAACCAGCTGGTCGTGCAGAAATTAGCCAAGAGCGTGCCTCTGAAGAGACAGGTGAGGAGACAGGTGAGGCGCCCTCGCTCTCTCCTTTTTAAGATGTGCTCTCAAACACGCATCCTAAACCAGATAACTTATTAGCTGGAGAGGAAAATGTGTATCACAAATTTAGAAGATCATCATTTAGCCTGGAGAAATAGTTTGCTGCTCTGCAAAGCCAGAACATTTTACTATTTCATTGATTGAAGAAAATAAGAACAACACTAGGTTTCTCTTCAACACTGTAGCCAGGCTGTCAAAAAAGTCAGAGCTCTGTTGAGCCAACCATCCCTTTAACGTTAACTAGTAATGACTTCATGAACTTACTCACAAATAAAATTTTAACCATTAGAGATAAAATTACTCATAATCATTTCACATTTCACGTTATCTACAACTATTTTCACTACAATTGATATTTGTTTAGTATTGTTCTCCAGTTGATCTTTCTGAGTTAACTTCAGTAATTACTACCTCGAAACCATCAATGTGTCTTCAATGTGTCTTCCATTCTTACTCTGGATGGCATTACCTTGGCAAATAAAAACTGTAATTCATTATTATCAGGATGTCCTAAAAACTCCCTGAAAAGACTACAGTTGATCCCAAATGCTGCAGCAAGAGTACAGACAGGAACTAGAAAGAGAGAGCAGATTTCTCCTATATTTTCTTCTCGTCACTGGCTCCCTGTTAAATCCAGAATTCAAAATCCTGCTCCTCATGCTGTCAGCGTTAATCTCGTTAAAATGATGTTAACGCCATAACTGCATTAACGCAGCAAATCTCTGTTAGCGAGTTAGCCCATGGCTGCACCATGATGCAGCCCCATGCGTGGGGCGATCCGCGCTAACTCGCTAACGGAGATTTGCTGCATTAATGCGGTTATGGCGTTAGCATCATTCTAACGAGATTAACGCTGACAGCACTACTTCAAACTTTCCTTTTTAGTAAGGTGACCGTGAATCCTCCCTTACTGAAGCTGCAATAGGTGTAGGCTGCTGGGAGATTTCCATGATGCTGATGATGTGTTTCTTCACTCACATGTGTTTGTACCTCTCTGCATTGAATCATTAGTTATCATTAATCTTTGGCTCTCTTCTACAGCATGTCTTTGTCCCATCTTCCTCCCCAACTGTCTGCCCCTCCCTTAACCTGGTTCTGCTGGAGGTTTCTTCCTGTTAAAAGGAAGTTTTTCCTTCCCATTGTTGCCAAGCGCTTGCTTACAGGGGGTCATATGGTTGTTGTTTTTTTTTTTTTTTCTTTGTATTATTGTAAAGTCTTTACTTTACAATATAAAGCACCTTGAGGTTACTGTTGTTGTGATTTGGTGCTGTATAAATAGAATAGAATTGAATTATGGGTCCACAGGTGTCAGTCGAGTCGTCGTCCTCACTGCAATCGGGGATGTGTTTGATGCGTCAGTCTCGTCTCTCCAGCGCGGCCACCACCGTCGTGGTGGGCACGTCGCAGTACGAACTTCCCTACGACCCTGCGTGGGAGCTGCCTCGTGACCGGTAACCACGCCTTTTCTGCCCCTCGCCCCTCCCAATCTGCACCTGAGATTGCTGCAGCAATTGACATCAGGGCAAAGACTGCACTGTTATTTCTTCATCTGTTACATTCTAATGTAACCTGCCTGTCTCTGTGACCTTTGACCTATCACTAACACAACCAAACAACCAGCTTACAGACTGAGTTGGAGAGCTCACTGAGCTGCACAGCATGTTTCTGAAATTACGTCAGCCTCGTCTTCTCGGTCTGTCCTTAAGGTTTAAATATAATGAAAGTGAGAGTGAGTTCAGCGTGCTCCTGTATCTGCTGACCGTTTGTTTGTCGTCCTCAGACTGACTCTGGGGAAGCCTCTGGGCGAAGGCTGCTTCGGTCAGGTGATTCTGGCCGAGGCCATCGGGATAGACAAAAACAAACCGACACGGGTCACCAAAGTCGCCGTGAAGATGCTCAAAGGTGAGAGAACTTGCAGGCAGCAGTTTAGGGTGAAAGATGCCCCCTGCAGCTGCCTCTTTGCAAACCACCTCCACCCTAGCTTCTCCATTCCAGCTTGTGTGTGTGCCCCTAATAAAATAAATGCAAATTACTTTAGAAGGAAGTAAAGTTCTGACTGTCGTGGTGCTCAGTGAAGTCTCAGCAGAGCTCCAAATATAAATGTGGAAACTTGTGCAAGTGTGAGCTGCAGGGGGCATGACATTGAGGTTGTCGCTGAAAGATTACATGTTGTTGCTGCGTGCAGCCGATGCCACGGAGAAGGATCTGTCTGACCTCATCTCTGAAATGGAAATGATGAAGATGATCGGCAAACACAAGAACATCATTAACCTGGTGGGCGCCTGCACGCAGGACGGTGAGCGCCGCCGCGTCTGAGTTCTTTAAATTCCTGCCGTGTGACTATTTGATATTAATGCGTTTCTTTCATTCTCCTGGGTTCGCCATGACCCGGAGCAGGTCCTCTCTATGTGGTAGTGGAGTACGCTGCGCAGGGTAATCTGAGGGAGTATCTGCGAGCTCGCCGGCCAGTTGGAGCGGAATACTGGAGCGGCTCCAGGCAGGCGCCGCTGGGCAGCCTGGAGGTCAGGGAGCTGGTGTCGGCAGCGTACCAGGTGGCCCGAGGGATGGCATACCTCGCATCAAAGAAGGTCAGAGAGACTTTACATCATCAAGGCACAGACTCTGCTCCTTTTCATGCTTGAACGATCTTGTGAACTCTGTGGGCATCGGTTTTCTTTTGCCAGTAAACACAGAGCGTCTGACGAGAAATCTGACACACGCAGTGCAGAAATATACTCACAGCCAATTTATTAGGTACACCCATCTCCATACTTTTATCCCTGGACTCTGCTGCTCAGAAGAATCAGGCTTCAGTTTAATTCCATTTCATTTAAGTAGCACCAAGCACAGTAACAGATGCCTCGAGGTATTTTATATTGTGAGATAAAGACCCTACAATTATAACTGATCATCATTTTTTTGTCTTGTGCTGGGTCTTGGTGCAAACTTACTAAAAATATGGAGCTGAATGAACTGAAGGGGTCTCCAGCCTTTATTCTTTAAGAATAAAAGGGGGACGGGGGTAGCTGTGTTGTGAGTGCATTGGGTTGTCGGTTGAATTCTCGGTGTCATGATGTAAAGGCTGACCCTCCCCTGTGCTTCAGTGCATTCACAGAGACTTGGCGGCCCGGAACGTTCTAGTCACTGAAGACAGCGTAATGAAGATCGCCGACTTCGGTCTGGCTCGAGACATCCACCACATCGACTACTACAAGAAGACCACCAATGTAAGTCGGACAGACTTTTATTTTGGCGGGGTGAAAGCCAAAAGTGACAGGGTGCTGATCTTTGGGTTTGGATGTGTCCGCAGGGTCGGTTGCCAGTGAAGTGGATGGCGCCGGAAGCTTTGTTTGACCGAATCTACACACACCAGAGCGACGTGTGAGTCCTCTGAAGCCTACCGAGCACTTGAATCAAGACTTCCTCTTCCTGTGATTTTACAGCATTTTACGGCTTCCTGTTTTTTGAGCTCATCACATCATGTTTAATGTGTGTTTTTAAAATAATTTACACTGGTAGGGAGAAGCAGTCTCAGCAGAGATGCCTAGACCCCGCTCTGTCTTCCTCCTCCTCCCCAGTAGTGCTATGTGATACAAAGTAAATACAGGGCTAATATTACTGATGCCGATATATTTAACTTATAGAGGCAGCTGATGTCGGGAAGTGCGGTGCGTACTGATTTATGACAAACCATCATCAGTTTGAAAAAAGATCATTAAATCACTGTGACTTTTACTTTCAAAATAAGAAGTTAACACAGTAAAACAGACCTTCTGGCTTTTATTTTGAAACTGAGCTGAATGTAGAGGTGTCTATCTCAGCATCTGTAGTTTAATTGTGCTGCAGGCTGGAAACAAAGCAGACAGTCGGCACAGACGTGTTTCATAGCTCATGTTTGGGGTGTATGTATATAATTATTTATAAAATGATTTAACACACTTCAGTGAGCTGAAAATATGCTGCTACAGTAACAGCTACAGTATCTCACAAAAGTGAGTACACCCCTTAAATTTGTTGAAATATTTTATTGTATCTTTTCAACATTAAAGATATGACACAATGTAAAGTAGTTATTGTGCAGCTTGTATAATGGTGTAAATTTGCTGTAATCTCAAAATAACTCAACACACAGCCATTAATGTCTAAACCACTAGTAACAAAAGTGAGTACAGCCCTAGGTGAAAATGTCCAAACTGGGGCCAAAGTGTCAATATTTTGTGTACCTATCATTATTTTCCAACACTGCCTTAACTCTGTTGGTCATGGAGTTCACTAGAGCTTCACAGGGTGCCGCTAGAATCCTCTTCCACTCCTCCATCATGGAGATGGTGGATGTTAGAGACCTTGTGCTCCTCCACCTTCCATTTGAGGATGCCCCACAGATGCTCAATAGGGTTTAAGTCTGGAGACATGCTTGGCCAGTCAAGTACCTTTACCCTCAGTTTATTTAGCCAGGCACTGGTCTTTTTGGAGGTGTGTTTGTGGTTGTTGTCATGTTGGAATCCTGTCCTGTGGCCCAGTTTCTGAAGGGATGAGGTCATGCTCTGCTTTAGTAAGTTACATATTGGCATTCATGGTTCCCTCAATTAACTGTAGCTCCTCAGTGCCAGCAGCACTCATGCAGCCCCAAACAATGACAATCCCACCAACATGCTTGACTGTAGGTAAGACACCCTTGTCTTTGTACTCCTCACCTGGTTGCCGCCCAGTGTTGGGGAGTAACGGAATACATGTACCGCCGTTACGTATTTAAAATACAAAATATGAGTAACTGTATT